CCACCCCCCCCCCCCCCCCCCCCCCAGCCACATTCATCAGCCGCATCTCCTCCTCCCACCCCTTCCTCTCCTTCCACCCCCTCCCTTCCGTCTCCCTCCCCAAAAATCCATCTCCTCACCACGAAGCCCAAACCTTCGATCTCCTCCGCCTCTCCAACCCTCACCTCCTCACTTTACTCTCCGATCTCTCCCAATCCTCCTCTGTCCGCGCACTCATACTTGATTTCTTCTGCACAATCGCGCTAGATGTAGCAGCCGAGCTACATATACCCTCATACATCTTCTTCCCAAGCAGCGGAGCTTCCCTTGCTGCCTTTCTCCACCTCCCCACCCTCCACTCGGTGGTCACCACAAGCTTTAAAGACCTTGGCGACTACCTTCTCCGCTTCCCAGGCCTTCCTCCCATCCCCGCACGCGACATGCCCCTTCCCCTGCTCAATCGGGATGAAGAGGCTTACAAAGCTTTTATCTTCAGTTTCAGCCAGATGACAGATGTTGATGGGATCATCGCGAACACCTTTCTTGCGCTGGAGCCCCGACCTCTCCAGGCAAGTGCATAAATGATCAATTTTATTTGTACTAAGTTTAAAAATGAGTAGAAATATATTAGCATATTTGAAATTTGAAGTATTTTTTGAAGTTGTTTTAAATTGGATATATATGTTTAAATCTTTTATTTCAGTTGAAAATTTTAATTTTGTGTGACCCATAATTTTAGCAATTAAGAAAAATAAGTTTGTTATTTTTTTTTATTTTAGTTTATTTTAATTTTCTTTTTGAACCAAAAGACCACTTCTTATATAATTATAGCGTTTAAAAAATTTATTGAAGTTTTTCACAAACAAATTATGTTCTAACTAGATTTGAAAAAACTTCTGTCTTGATTGGAATCTTGATAGAATTGAACCAAGTGATGCAAACTATATTATTCCCATTGTTATGCGAAAATAGTGTGAAAGTGTAGAAACCCACACAACATCAATCATACAAAAGAGATTTACATAGTTCGACGTTAAATCAAATATCTTATGTGTATGGGGAGGGAGATTCCACTAGCACCGGATGAGAGAA